ATAAGGATGGTTTTAAGTTACTTCATTGTACCACAAACAATGGAATATGTGGTCGACACATATCTACTATTTTTCGAATTCATTTTTCACAACTCTTTCGTTTGATTTGATTTCAGACAAGCGCGCGGTTCAAAGACAATAAATTCGTTTCGAAATGATCTTGGGAAACTTTACGCGAACAAGTATTTTTCTTGTTAGCGGAAGCTATCATGGCCGCGTTCATTAGTCAATGTACTAAGTCGAAGTATAGCATTCCATTCACGTAGTTAGGATACGTTTTACTACTCCTACTATACATTTATATAGTTGGGCAAATTCTGACTGAGTGAAACAATTGTATTTTAGACACGAATTCAGTAAATACTATTTTTTTGATTAATTCGCGTACATATTACTCGTTTAGTCAGTCTGTCCGTCGCGTCGAAAGTTACCAGGCACGGTACCTTCCTATCTCGCTATTTAAGAAACACAACTTCTCTTACATGGGTTAGGTTTATTTTTGAGAATGCAGTATTGTTGGGCAGTAACCTTTTAAATTATTAAAATCTATTTGATGAATTCTACTAAAAGGTTCTTTAGCGCTTGAAATGATCTTTCGCTATCTAACTGCTCCTTTTTGCTATGGTGACTTGCGATGGTACGATTCTAACATAAAAACCGTCCTTGCTTTACGAGGATAGCCAGTGGCTACCACGTCCTCGTTCGAGGATCGAAATTGCCGGGAATCGGAATTTAATTTAGAAGGTGATTTTACGAAAGGCAAATAAACCGGAGAACGTGGCTTTTGCCGTGAACAGCAATTTGTTGTTTATAGATACTAGAAATAATTCCATTCCAAAAGAATGATTCAAAAATGCATAGTATAGAGCCTTTTTCTCATTGGATTCGTTTGTCTTGTTCTCAGTATATAAACACTCCTTTCTACCACCTCTTTCTCTTTTTCTCCGACGAAGGACTAACGTCCGAAACGTCAGTAAGTTTCTTCATCTTTTCACGGTGTATAATTTACCCTTTGATTACCATTACTGAATATATATAGATAGTTCAGTAACGCTATAGACATGAGTAACATTGTTTTGACCCTAGTACTAGTTCTGTTATCGATAGTGGTTCAGTAATTGGAAATCGTGTGCACTTTTCTTTTTTTTTTTTTTACTGAAGTGCTTGGTCCTTGAGCGTAGAAAGTTTTGTTAATTGAATAACGATTCAGTCAGTTCCTGTTTGTTAGGTTTGAAAGATAATTGACTCTTTTCATATATGCTGATTAAAGTGTCTCGATTATAATTATTATTGTCGGGCATGTAGGAGGCGACTCTGACAACACAATATTAAAGCAATCATGCATTTTATCATGTTTTCAAAACAGAGTTTCGGCGCCAAGATGCCGTTTAAACAAAGACGCCATGTATTGTTTGGCAGTTCTGGGCAAAGTGGCAGTGGCAAGTAGCAGTAGCAGTAGCAGTAGCAGTAGCAGTAGCAGTAGCAGTAGCAGTAGCAGTAGCAGTAGCAGTAGCAGTAGCAGTAGCAGTAGCAGTAG